TGTGCATACCCTTTGACCCAGCAAAAGCACTGCTAGGTCTGTATCCCGAAAAGATCATAAAATGGGAAAAGGACCCACATGTACAAAAATATTTATAGCAGCTTTTTTTGTGGTGGCCAAGAATTGGAAATTGAGAGGATGCCGATCAATTGAGGAATGGCTGAACAAGTTGTGGTATTTGAATGTAATGGAATATTATTGTTCCTTCAGAAATGATGAACAGGTGGATTTCAGAAAAACCTAGAAAGACTTACATGAACTGATGCTGAGAGAAGTGAGCAGAACCAGGACACTGTACACAGTAACAGCAACATTGTGCGATGACTGACTTTGATAAGCTTGACTCTTCATTAATGCAAGGATCTAAGACAATTCCAAATGACTCATGATGGAAAATGCTATCCACACCCAGAGAAAGAACTATGGAGTCTGAATGCAGAACGAAGAATATTATTTTCTCTTCTATTTTTGTTTCTGCTTGTGCTTTTGCTCTTTGGTTCTAATTCTTCTTTACAACATGAGCAATGTGGAAATGTATTTAATATGATCACACATGAGTGCCTGTATCAGATTGCATGCCATTTTGGGTTGGGGGAAGAAAAGAAAGGGGGAGAAAATTTGGAACTCAAAATCTTATAGAAGTGAATGTGGAAAACTAAAAAAAAAAAGAACTAAAAATAAATAAATTTTTAAAAAAGAATGTAAACTCCTGGAAGGCAGGGATTGTATTTTTTCTTTGTCCTTATGTTCCTAGCACTTAGCACAGTGTTTGGCACATGGCAAGTGCTTAATAAATGCTTACTGACTAATTAAACATTAACTGTAAAATCATTTCAGACATGCTGTCTTCCTCTGTACCATCCCCCTTCTCTTCTCTTCCTCAAATGGGAATTCAAAGCTAAAACAAACAGACCCACATCAACTACCAACTGCTGGGGGGTATTGTAGGGGTTCATTTTCTCAGTCTAGGTTGGACTAGAAAACCTTTGAGCGCTTTTCCTATGTGGAGGTCATATGCCTCTCTTATGCAAATAAAATTTAGGCTTTCTGTTTTCAGTTAGACAAGTAGTCTGCATCTGGGGCCATCTCCAGTCTTTCTGATCGTTATCTTGCCACTGGATCCAGATGGCTCCAGAGGAGACAGTGAGGCTGGTGACTTTGCAGCTGCTTCACTGAAAGCCAGTTCACTTGAAAGTCATGGCATCACCTTCCTGCCGTCATGGTCCTCTTTGAGAATGAAGGACAAACAACAACAGACAAGCAGTAAGAAGGAACAAGTTAGCATATTCAGCACACAGACTATGATGTTCTGAACAGGATCAGCTCTTTAAAAATATGCCTTTTCTTGAGCAGTGACTACCATATTCAGAGCTATAATTAGGAGTTCTTTTTCTTGGATCAGTTTCATTGAGGTCAGCCATGGGTGGCACAGTGGATGGTCTACCCTGGATGCACTTGTGCTGGGAGAGGGGAGACTCCCATGGAGTATGGACTCCACCCCTGTAGCATGTGACTGATGCCTTCTAATCTCCTTAAAGTCTTTGTTGGGTGTAATTATTCACATTGGGAAAGGGAGCAACTTGTTGTCCAGAGAGTCTGGTTCACATTCCCACAATGTAGCTGATTGTCCCTTCCTGACCCCAGGCAGGAGGAAGAGAGTTATGGTCATGTGTGAAAATAGGCAGAAGAGAAGGCAGATCATGGAGGGAGACATGGTCATCTTGGGAAAGTGACTTCAGTTCTCTGGGCCACACCTTCTGAGTTGTAGAGTCTGGACTAGCTTTCCTTAAAGGTCCTTGCCAACTCTCAAATACTATAGGGATAACTATAGTGTATAAGACAGTGGCCCAGAAATCAGTAAGACATGAATTCAAATCCAACCTCAGACACATCTTAACTGTGTGATCCTGGGCTAATCATTTAATCTCTGTCTTCTTCAGTTTTCTCAACTATAAAATGAGGATGATAAAAGCACCTAGATATTTAGGAGGTACTTAGCACAGTGTCTGGCACATAGTAGGTACTTAATAAATGCTTATTTTCTTTTCATAACTAGATAATAGGATCACAGAATTAGAACTGAAAGAGACCTTAGAATCTGCTAGTTTACCCCACATTTGACAGGTTAAAAAACTGAAGTCCAGAGCGGTTAAATATTTTTGCCCAGTCAAATACTGAGATTAAATGGCAGAACTGGCATTTGGACCCAGGTCCTTTGATTGCAAACCCAGACTGCACCATTTCCATTGTACCACACTGCCTCTCCCAGATGTGAGCTTGATTTCTGATCTTGAACTTGACTTCTTTACAGATGTTGATGCCTCACCCCATCCTTGCCTGCTCCACTAAACAAGATGATAATAATAGTGACCTTGAGGAGAATATACCTGGTTGGTTAAATGATCTGTTTAAATGAGCACAATTTCTTGTCATTTGGAATCCATCCAGCATTCACTGCCTAATCTGTACATGATGTTTCCTAGCATCAGCCATGATGGAGCTTGTTACTTGTTGCCTGAAGTTGTAGTGGTGTTGCTTTTGCTGCAATTCAATAGCAGTACAGGTTGATCATTGAAGTCTGGCATTGCCCCTCTTTTCCTGCACCCTCCACTTGAGCTTAGCCC